AAGACCCATGGGTTCATCACCTAAACATGCAGTACAGTGATAGGTTCGAACAGAGAGAACCACCAACCGAAGATGAAGTAGTCCAAATTAATATGGGCGATGAGGCCAATCCAAAGCCCATATTCATCAGCGGTAGTCTTCCTCCAGATGAGAAGGAGGAATTAATTGCCCTGATCAGAGAATACATTGATGTCTTCGCCTCGAACTACGAAGATATGCCAGGACTCGACCCCAATGTGGCAATGCACCGCCTTGATATCAAGCCGGATGCCAAACCTGTCAAACAACAACAAAGACGGTTTCGCCCGCAGATTATGGAAGCCATTGAGGCAGAGGTTAAGAAGTTGATCGATTCAGGATTTATCCAAGAGGAACAACATCCAGACTGGTTAGCCAATATCGTTCCCGTCATGAAGAAGAATGGCAAAATCAGGATCTGCATCGACTTCAGGAACCTGAATGAAGCATGTCCGAAAGACGATTTCCCTCTCCCAATCACGGATGTCATTATCGACAATACATGTGGATTCGAGAGGATGTCCTTCATGGATGGATTTTCGGGATATAACCAGATCAAGATGCACCCAGATGATGAGAAACATACAGCGTTCAGAACGCCCCTCGGTATCTTCTGCTACACGGTAATGCCTTTCGGCCTGAAGAACGCAGGCGCCACGTACCAGCGAGCGATGACTAAGATTTTCCAGGAACACCTCCGAAAAACGATCGAATGCTATGTTGATGACTTGGTTGTAAAGGGCCGTAACAAAGAAGATCACATCAAGGCTTTGAAGACGATGTTCGATCTCATGAGGAGTCATCAATTGAAGATGAACCCCACTAAATCATTCCTTGGAATGTCCAGCGGAAAATTCCTTGGATTCGTCGTCACCACTAAGGGTATACATATGGAAAATTCCTTGGATTCGTCGTCACCACTAAGGGTATACATATCGATCCCGATAAGGTGAAGGCGATACTTGAATTGCAGCCTCCGAGGAATCTAAGAGAACTCAGAGGATTGCACGGGCGGCTAGCTTACACTCGGCAGTTCATCTCAAACCTTTCTGGGAAGTGCCAACCATTTTCTAAGCTAAACAAGAAGGGCGTGTCATTTATTTGGGACGACGCCTGCCAAAAGGCACTCGAAGATATCAAGACATATCTGACAAATCCCCCTGTTCTCGTTGCACCAAAATCAGGTAAACCGTTCTTGATTTACATCAAGGCGATGAACCATTCGATAAGTGCTTTGTTAGCACAAGACGATGATAATGGTCACGAACAGGAAGTTTATTATTTAAGTCGGACTTTGGTAGGCGCTGAGTCTCGATATCCGATGATTGAGAAAGAATGTCTCGCGTTGGTGTTTGCAGTGCAAAAGATGCGGCATTACTTAGTGGGACAGACAATTTATGTTATCTCCAATGTTAATCCCGTGCGAGTATTTATGACGCAACCGGGTTCGATGAATTGGCGGTTGGCAAAATGGGCCATCCTCTTGTCCCAGTATGATTTGCACTTCAAACAGCAAAAGTCGGTCAAGGGACAAGCGATTTGTGATCTTTTGGCGGCAAACCCGACCGCAGATGCGGCAGAAGTATATGATGACTTGCCGGATGAAACCCACGAGGTTAACACTACATCGCACCAGCAAGTATGGCAATTATATTTCGATGGTGCTTCAAGGTCAGTTAATAGGGTAATAACCCCGGGAGGTTCTACAGTTTCCTCCGGGGTTGGAGTTTTCTTAATCTCCCCGGGAAAGCATGTGATGCCCCGAGCTTATTCATTGACTGGTCTGTGTTCCAATAACGTAGCCGAGTACAATGCACTTCTCATTGGACTCAGTTTCGCCAAGGAGCTGGGGGTCGAATATCTCGAAGCTTTTGGGGATTCTCAATTGATAGTTAACCAGGTCCGTGGAGAATATGAAGCCAGGAACCAAGACCTGATCCCATACCACTAGGAAGCCATCAAAATGGCAGAATCTTTTGAAGAATTCTTCATTGAATATATCCCTTATCTCCAGAACGCTTATGCAGATGCACTGGCGGCACTAGCGGTATCACTGGCACAGCCTCCCGAAACTGAGCTGTTAGTCACAGTACGGACGCATCAACTCTGCGTACCCATATACAGTAGGGATATTGTAGAGGAAGGTGACGGAAACGTAAACGCCAAGGAGGTGAATTCAACTCAAATTGGGTCTGAGTCCCGAGATTGGCGTTTTCCCATCATTGACTATGTTCAATATGGTATCCTGTCAGAAGATATAAAAGAAAGGGAATCAATCCGCCGAAGAGCACCAAGATTCTTCTATAATGCCGAGACCCATACGTTATACCGTAGGGGATACGATGGTTTATTACTCCGATGCCTTTCGAACAAAGAAGCAGAAGAAGTTCTTAAGGAAGCACACGAAGGAGAATGTGGTGCGCATCAGCCCGGTCCCAAACTGTATGATCACATCAGGAGGATGGGATATTTCTGGCCAACGATGGTTCGTGACGCAATCGAATACGCACGAGAATGCCACGCTTGCCAGATACATGCAAATTATATGCATCAACCGCCAGAGCAGTTGCACACATCAACCACGTCATGGCCGTTCGAAGTATGGGGCATGGACATTGTTGGTCCTATTTTTCCCCCCTCAGTCAAAGGCGATCGATTCATTCTGGCGATCACGGATTACTTCTCAAAGTGGGCTGAAGCAATTCCGCTTAAAGAAGTAAAGACGAACAACGTCATCAATTTCATCAAGCATCATGTCATCTACAGACACGGCGTGCCAAGAAGGATCATTCATGACAACGGTCCGCAATTTATAAGCAACGCCTTCATCAGATTTTGTGACAAGTTCAAAATTGAAGACGTTTCATCAACACCTTATTATCCCGCCGCGAATGGATTAGCGGAGGCGTTTAACAAGACGATCATCAAGATCTTGTCAAAGCTCGTGAAGACCAATAAACGAGACTGGGACGATAAACTCGGTGAAGCACTCTGGGCTTATCGCACCACCATACGCACACCTACAGGAGCTACCCCATATTCGTTGGTATACGGCCACCAAAATCCCTCACTGATTAATTTCAATTGACAGTGAGTCCACCAAAAATATCCATCTGGCCCTCTTGACTCTTTCCATGAATAAGAGGTCCACTTTCAGTTCGGAGTCTCCTTTCGATAAATGAAAGAACTCCTTTCTCTTCTCTTTGGTTAAATCTTCTCGCGGTTATAGCCAAAGTTGAAACTTCACTTCGATAAACGAAGAAATCTTTTTTTCAATTTAGATAACCAATCCTATAAAAGGCAAGTTTATCTAGATTTTCCAGATTCTCGGAGTGGAGATCCCACTTCTAGTTTCTTCTGCACTGGAAATAGAATATAAAATTCTTCCTTTCCAGAATCAGGGAATAGAATATAAAATTCTTCCTTCCTTGCTTTTCGGGTTCGCCTTCACCCTAAAAGAAGACCGGGAAATAGAATATAAAATTCTGCCTTTCCCGCATCGATCTTTTCCGAAATTTATCAATTTAGGATTCATCCTAGGAAGTTTATCCCGAATCCTAAGCAGGGATAAGTCTGCGCCTAACACGCGCTGCCGGTTTAGTCTTTTCCGCACAAAAAGACACCAGAGTTCGATTCTGGGGTATTCTATCCTGAAACCTAAGCAAGGATAAGTCTGCGCTTAACCCGCGCTGCCGGTTAGTTCTTAACCGTTGAAACGTAAAAAAGAACACCCGTTCACATATTCAACATTGTGGCAGGCTGTTATTAATAACACCAAAATCCATGCCTTACACGTATGGGGAATTTCATCCTGAATCCTAAGAAAGGATATGTCGACGCCTAACACTCGTTGCCGGTTTAGTCTTTTTTCCGAAGAAAAAGACACCAGAGTTCGATTCTGGGGAATTTCGTCCCGAAGCCTAAGTAGGGATAAGTCAGCATCTAAAACACGTTGCTGGGTAGCCTATTCCCATAACAAA